TAGTGTATGTACAAGTCATTGGTGTTTGGTGATGAGTTTTTGGCTAAAGGTCTGCATTTAAAGTCACACCAGAGGTGTTCAGCTGGGATTCGGACTTGGCTTTCTGCAGACCAGTCCAGTTCTTCCACACTGACTGAATCAACCTTTTTTTAATTTATTTTTTAAACCTTGCCTTATACACAGAGGCATTGTTGGGTTAGAATAGAAAAGGGTCCTGTTCAAACTATTGGTATAAAATTAGAAGCACACAATTCCCTAGAATAGCATTATGTGCTTTTTTAAAAAAATTTTTTACTAAAAATGAGAAATGACTAAAGTATTCAAACCTGCTCATTAGAGGGGGGTGTCCCAATACTTTTGGCAATATAGTGTACAAGCCAGCCTAGCTATTCAAAATCTTTGTCTGCAATTTAATAACATTGACCTATTACTTTTGCTATTGCTTTTGACCATTAGGTATCAGTAACATAATTCATTCAGAACCTGTTGTGCACAGATTAATTGTTCACATCAAGACCAGCAAGGTGCGCTAGTAAAGTAAATAAAGTCCATTTTGATTTCATGCGGACTTTAACCCTACTGTTAGACCTACCTGAAAAACTAAAAAGCAATTTATTTAATTCGAAGGCTGTGTGTCGCTGCTGTCGGTGTGTCTTCTTTAAATCGCTCGCTCTTGGCTTCAGCTCTCGTTTACAACCACACCACCCTGAGCACGCCCGGTCTCGTCCGATCTCGGAAGCTAAGCAGGGTCGGGCTTGGTTAGTACTTGGATGGGAGACCGCCTGGGAATACCAGGTGCTGTAAGCTTTTGCTTTCCCTACACTCTTCAGATAAAACACTTCCTCATGACTCAGAATTCTAGCTCGTTCCCTTCATCATTTTAAACGAATCGCTTCATTTATTTTCTTTCATTTTGTATTCTCTGTGGCTTCTGCCCGCTTACAGTTTCTCTCTCAGCCTCCTCATTCTTTCTTTCTCCTCCAGGGGGCGATCGAGAGGCTTTTCCCCCTCTACAGTAAATCTCTAAGCACTACTTATTGTTTTTTTTTTTCAGTAACTGATGCTCCTCTCCTCAACTTCAACTAGACCAGAGGTTCTCAAACTGTTTTTGTCAGCCAAACCGCTGAAATTTTAAATTAATATTTCAATAATTCAAAAACACATTCACATATTCACAGTCATATGAAGAAAGTGAACCTAGCACACACTGCAATCCCAAAACCCCCTGTAATTCTCTCACGAACCTCCAGGGGTTCACAAACCCCCATTTGGGTGCCAAACTCATGCCGTGTTCCAGACAAGGTCAGAAGATGGGAGATGCGTATAAACGGAGGTCGGAGCCAGCTCCAAATGGACGGGTCAGCTCCAAATGGGTGGGACTTGAGCTCCAGGCTGTACAAACCTCCTGGGGCTTTTGATTGATTTATTTAATGTCTTGTACATGACACAGAGTTACAGCTTGTGTTTTATTAACGTCTACACCTAACCCAACCCTAAGCCTACCCTTTACAATAATGCAAAAATAGTAATTATTGTTGTACAGTGTGAGAAAAATTACGCTATATTGATGTGCGAATGCTTGCGGTGAAAATAGGACGAGTGGTCAGATGAGAGGTAAAGCTGAGTGGACCTACTTTATCAGTAATGCTATCCAAACTTTGATTGATGTTTCTCAGGATATCTCCCACTTTAAAGACCGGACAGAACGGATGGTCCACCGGGTTGTAACGACACTTC